CAAGATAGGAGGAGCACCCAATGCCTGACCAATGAGCGGGGTCAGTCCCTGCGCAAGGCACGGTGCCGACGGGACGGGAGGGAAGCCCCTCTTTCAAGGAAGGTGGGATGGTGGCGTGACCAGGGACCGGGGAAATCCCTCGTGCACATGGGGCATCGTGGTACCCGGGGTATCTGGGGCAGGAAGAGCCCCGAGCTCAAACCGTGCCTCCTCCGGCCGGACATCACAAAGCGAGAGCCAACGGAGCAAAAGGTGTGAAGGCAAGTCGCCGCCGTGGCAATGCCAGGACAAGATGGAGAGCAGAGGGAGAGGGAGAAAAGACACATCTCATGTCGTGGCTCACCTCCCTTTTCTCCACCGGCGTGTACGAGATGACCCAAACCTGCACTCACGTCCGGATAAGGGGAAAGTTGGCAGCAGAGAGCCCAGCTCTACCCCATCCGGATCCAGCCGTTTGTCTTCAGCCATGCCCCAAACCAGATGCTTTAGACGAAGACGCCAGGAGCTGCCTTAATAAGCGCTTATGCAATCCTTCTCGCGCGGAGGAAATGTCTTTCCCAATCCCCCGCCATTAGCAGTTGGCTGGTGCCCTGGAGCGGGACATTTTAGAGCCCTTGTAAATTTGCTTCAGGAGTGGAAAGTGGACGGAGGAGGGGAAGGCGCTGGTTTTCGTCAGGGACCTGCATCAGCCGGGAGCTCTTCTCCGCTTCTCCCTGCGAGCGGAGAGGTAACACCATGGGTCAGCACCCAAACCCTGCCCCAAGCCAGGGGATCGGGGACAGGGGGATGATGGTGGCACCTCCTGCCCCAGGGTCAGCACTCGGCCCCGGGGCTTTGGGGGACAGTGTTGGTCTCAGCAGGGAATTTGAGTGGGAAAAGAGGATTTAGGGCAGAAGCATCACTGCGGCTTCAGTGCAAAAGTTTCTTCTGGCTTGAGAGGTCAACTGGGGAGCAAGCGGACCAGCTCTCCCTGCACGTGGGTCACCTGGGCTGCCCGTCGGAGCTCACGGACTCATTTTTTCCATCCTCTCCAATTGCGTGTCCATGGTGGGTAATGTAGTACAAACAGAAATTCCCTTTATGGCAGGTAGACCCTCCTTCCCCTGATTTCTGCGGCCATCAGACGGGGAACAGCACTGTTTTAAGTAAAACTCAGGGCACCCACGCCAGCTTGGAGTAATGATTCTGGGGCCGGTTCCAGCGGTGAGCTGCGAGGCTGCCGTTACCTTCCCTTTGCCTATTGTTTGCATCCAAACCTAATTGCAAATTGACATGAGCCGTCTTTGGGGAGCGGCTGCTCCGCTCTGCTCCGTCAGCACAATGAGCCGTTGTTGATACGGCCGCAGCAATTTTCCAGGTTAATTTATGGCCGCCACACCCCATTAGCGGCAATAAATGTGGAGCCCGGTTTTGCCGAAATTGTGAGTTACGATTTTTCAAATAAATACATTTTCCTATAAACGAGCGCTCTGTTTAGTTTGAATGTTCCTCGCAGACACATCCATCTACATAAAATACACAGGAGAGGAAGCTGAGCTGTGACTTCGCTCTGATGACATAAAAACTTTTGTAAACGCAATGTCATTTACAGTACAAGCAAGGAGAGAGGAAAAAAATAAACAGCGAGTGCCTGGCGCATCCCTTCAGGAGCACATGGAAAATTTAATAATCTTTTTTCCATAAAGCTTTGTTTTCCTTTTGATTTATCCAGACAGGGCAGTGGCTGCTTGGCCATAAATAGATTGTATTTCTTGAGAGGCAATGGTTGCAGTCATCCTTTATGTCGCTGGAGGGACGGCGCGGGAGGTGTGTGTACAGAGAAGACGCCGCGGATTGCTGCTGAGAACGGGAGCATCCCAGCTCGGCTCAGCACAGCCGCCGCCACAGCGAGTGCCCAGCTCACCCCCAACTCCTCCTGCTCCCTCGGTGGGGTTTTCACAGCCTGCACCCCTCCTGGGTTGTGTGTGTGACGGATCAAGCAGCCCAGCGATGTAGTTCGGGGGATGTGGGCAGTGTCCCCTGCGCCCCGCCGCTCCCCCAGCCCCTGCAAGACCCGTGCGGGCGCAGAAAGACATGCGTGGCAAACCCTTCTGGGGAGGAGGGATGCCCTGAGTGGGCTTTTGCAGCTGTGGCGCTCATTAGCCCAGCCTTGGCCATGACCCCTGATCAAACTGACTTGATTTCCTTCACTTCTCCAGGTTCTCTCCCTCCTCACATCACCGGGAGGAAAATAATCCCGCCAGAGCAGCGGCACGCATGCAGCCAGCCCCACGCACCTCTCCTTGAAGCAGACTCTGCTTGTGCCTCAGTTTCCCAAGGCTTTTTGCAACCATTCCCCCAGGCCTCCAGGAGCAGAACTGTTAGGAAGGTGCTGAGTGATTATTATTGCATTATTTCGGGCGAGTGCTATAAATACCCAGGGGCACCTTTAGACACAACCCAGCTGCCCGGGGGAGCTGGCTCAGCCCCGCTCTGCGCCTGTGGCAGCTGTCGGAGGGGGGGATCGGAGGCAGTGGCTGGGTGCGGAGGTACCTCGGGGCACGACCTGATGGGGGGACACGGCGGGGGGGTGCAGGGTTTTGGGGACCTTCCTGGCTGCACCCCGGGGCTGCGGCGGAGCCTGGGGCGGGAGGGATGCGGTAGCAGGAGGGTGCCGGGATGCTGCAGGGAGACGCTAGCAGGGAAGACAAGGGGAATATTTTACGGGGCTGCAATGTAAACAGAGCTGGAGCAGAGCCCCTTTTTATGGAGTCCCTGTCCTGCCAGGGCATCTGCCAAGACCCTGATTTACGCTCCTATTTAGATAAGGGAGCCGGAGGGGGGGGAGCAGAGCTGGCGTCAAAGTCACAGGACACCCTGGGCTGCTGCTCGCTGGGCGCTGATAAGGAGGTGGCCGCAGGGCCAGGGCCAAAACCGCAGCCCCCATCCAGGGCAGGGGATGGGTGCAGAGCTGGGTGGCTCCTGCTGGGGTTGGGGTGCTGGGGCTGCGGAGAGCCGGGATAACCTCACCCCCCGACATGCAACACCGGCCCCCCTCGCCATCGCCCAGCCATGAGGGCAGGAAATCTTTCTCTGGGAAGGATTTGAAGGAAAACAGGTGGAGAAAAACATGGTTCCTCCTGCCATGCCAGCCATAAATCGCCTAATCCGAACCGCTCGGCGTTTCCCCCTTCTGTGAGCAGGGAGACGTGAAATTAAAGAAACTCACCAAAAGTTTGAAAAGTGCTAAATTTGGACGCCATGACAAAGGCAGTCTGGTTTGATTTAGAAGGTGTCGGCATGAAAAGGGCTCTGGTTTTATTATTTTATTAAAACACGAAAGATTAGAACGATTTTCCAAAGGAAAATCAACCCGCTGGTCCCACTATTTGCTCAGCTGAGCACTTCCAAAGTGCGCAGGGTCCAGGAACCGCCGGTGGGGGGGATAAAGCAAGATAACGCCCGGGCTTGGGCTGGGCTTACCTGGCTCGGCGGCCGGAGGCTGGAGGTGGCTCTGGTGCACGGCTCGAGGCGACGGCTCCGAGCTGGGGGGGGGTGTTTCTGGGGACGGGGTTGGGTGGCACAGACCCCAGCCTGGAGGTTTGCTGGATCAGGGCTTTTATGGGTTGAGGAGAGGCTCAGTGAAGAGCCAGGCTGGTAGGTCAGGGGGAGCAGGGCACTGCAGGTGATGCTGTGCCGGCGGGGCGGGGCGGCACGGCATGAAGCGGGACCCCTGCCCCTCTCCCAGGCGGGCACTGGCCCCCGACAGCTCCAAGCCAGGCTCAGGGATCCCACCCAGCCACTGCCGTTTTGGAGGAAATCAGGGACACGACGCCCTACCCAAGGCCTGACTCTAACGGGAGGGTGGGTAATCACTAGCAAATGTTTGCAGGACGCTCGTTTAAAGGGGGTGGGGAAGGGGGGGCTTTGCAGCTTCTAAGAACAAAGCTGGGGGGAGTGAAGCGGGGCAGATCCGGTACGGCCGTGCCCCCCCGGCCGCCGGGGCCCGGCAGAACTGGAGACCCGCTTACACCCTGCCCCGGCCCCCCCGGCCTCCTGCCTTTGCAACTTGCCTTGTAACAACTAACGATGGAAAATCCGAGGCATTTAAGTGGCTCCCGAATCCGCCCGGGAACCGTGATTGAGAGAAGTCAAACAAAATTTGTCATCTTTAAAATGCAGGAGGACGTTAATGGTGTGTTAGCCTGGATGATTAATACAAGCGCCTGCAAACAACCCTCCAACGTTTCCACCCTCCACTGCAAGATGAATCGCTGGAAAGCGCCGTTAATCGCTAACATACCTTGGGCCCAAAGCCCCTTCCTGCCCCGCCGCGCTGTGATCGCCACCGCCGTGCCCGGGCTGTCCTCGCTGGGAGTAACTGGAGCAAGAGCAGGGGTCGGCCCCAACGTCGCCCTGCCGGGCTGGGGGCGAAGCGCGGGGTCTGGGAGCCGTCGCCCTGCGGATCTGTCTCCCGTGGGTGCAGAGGCGAGCAGGACATGCTGTCCACTGCAGGGCCGCACGCCGGGCTGGGCTTTGGGGGCTGCGGTGCAGCACAAGATCCCAGCCCCAGTGGGACCCCCCAGCCTTTCCACAGCCAGGCTGGGACAGGGAAACGCAGGGCAGGTCCCCGCTGCCCTATCGTAAATACGTTTGTGTGTGTGGATAGTATCATTTTTATATATTTATGTATGTGTGTGCAGGGTCTGTGCAGCATACACGTGTTTATGTGCCACGCACGCAATGTGTATGTGCACATACACAGTACGTGTGTGTATGTAATATATATGGCGGCATTGTGTGTGTAGCGTATGTGTGCTGCTGGTGTGTGTATGTAATATATATGGGTGCAGTTAAGTGCATGTGTGTAATATATCTGTGGTGTGTGTAAAGCACAGATAGGTGTGCGGCGTATGCAGCATCTCTATGTGTGTGGTGCGTGTAGGCAACATCTGGTGTATTTGTGTGAGCAGCATATGTGCATGGTGTAACCACATGCGTGTGCAGCGTACACTTGCGCAATGTGGGTGCGCGCTGTACACGCGTGCAGCATGCCTGAAGGCGCGCAGCGCACATCCGTGTGCAGCGTGCATTTGTGCAACGCACGCGTGTGCACCGAGCACGCGTGGGCAACGTGCCCCACATGCAGGGAGCCCACCCTGCCGCCACGGCCGCCCCCGCCATGCCCGGGCCGGGGGCCC